TCTGGGTTCACGCTGCTCAGGATTTGGCCACTGCTGCTTTCAGGACTGGCCATGGCCATGCAGGAGCTGCTCAGCAAACCATGGCTCTGCCCAGGCTTGGCAGGAGAGGAGCAGGTTGATCCTGTCAGCTCCTCTTAGAGAAAGCTTTGGGGCTTTTGTGTTGTCTTGGAAATAAAACCTGAGGCATCACTGCCATTCCAATGGCTGGGCTCTCCTTCTCCATTTGGATGGAAAGGGATTCCAGCTTAAGGAAATAGCTTGGTAGGATAAGGGGGAATGATTTCACATTGACAGAGGGGAGGAGTAGATTGGATTTTAGGAAAAAATTYCTCCCTGGGASGGTGGGGAGGCCCTGGCACAGGGTGCYCAGAGCAGCTGTGGCTGYCCCTGGATCCCTGGCAGTGYCCAAGGCCAGGCTGGACAYTGGGGYTGGGAGCAGCCTGGGACAGTGGAAGGTGTTCCTGCTATGGCAAAGGGTTGCRCYAGGTGRTTCTTAAGCTCCCTTCCMRCCCAAACCATTCTGGGATTCCAGGAATAAATTCCTTCTCTGACCTCTCACATCCTTAGGATGCYTTGGGCAGTAGCAGGTGCTGGAGCAGCTCTCAGAACCCTTTCCATGCCGTGCCTGGTCAGGGATCCAGCTGTGCCTGGTCAGAGATCCAGCTGTGTTTGAGGGATCCAGCCATGCCAGGGGTGCCCTGCTGACACCTCGTGCTCACCTGGAGCTCAGAGGCTCCAGGCACAGCTCAGTTTCACAGACGGCTCTGGGGGAGGAGCAGGACAGGAAGCCAAGAGTCAGCAAAGCTCCCTCGTTGTCTGCTACCTGCAGCAGTGGCAGGTGTCCCCATCGGGCTGCCCAGGGAGTGTCCAAGGCCAGGCTGGACAGGGCTTGGAGCAGCCTGGGACAGTGGGAAGTGTCCCTGCCTGTGTCAGGGGGTTGCACTGGGTGGGCTTTAAGGTCCTTTCCAACCCAAACCTGGCATTCCATGGTTCTTTCCCATCTCCCTTCAGCTCTGGAGGGTCTGTCCCAGCTGTCTTTGGAGCAGCATAGCTCCTGTGACATGTGACAGAGAGCTGAGCTGCTGTCACCTCCCCCAGGCTCTGCTGGGAGGTGACATCCCGTCGGCCAGACCACCTAATGCCACTCCTGTGGTTTCGTGGTGCCTCGTTCGGGCATTGCAGGTGACACAGGGGCAGCAGTCCCTGGCCGTGCCCATGGCCCTGCTGGCCACGCCTGCCTGGCACCTCTCCCAGCCCCCTGAGGGCCCCTCACAGGGGCTTATTACCCCTTCCTGCTCTCTTGGCCATTCTCTGTTCTGCCTGAAACTCTCCAGGTCCCTGGGAATTGTCCCTTGGAGTCATGGTCCCTTTCCATGTCGGTCCCTCCCAGCTCCGTCCCCCTCCATGTCCCAGTCATGAGCACCTGCAGAGTGCCCCATGGCAGGATCTGTCCCTTTTGGGTGGCACCAGGAGCCCTCCCCTGGCAGGTGAGGCAGCCCTGGGTGCTCAGCCATCCCCTCCTGGTCCCACAGGTGACATGTGAAGGTGACACCCGGCAGTGGAGATGCATTCCAGCCACCCTGAGGAYCCCAAGGGAGCCATCCAGGTGAGCCAGACCCCCCCACTGCTCCCCAGACAGCTCCCAGTGCAGCTCCAGGCTGGACTTGGGGGTGCTTCCAGCTGGGATTGGGATAGTTTATACTGGGAGTAGGAAGGGATTGATGGTTTGTCTGGGTTGGGAGATTAAAGGAATTAAGGGGGGTGTAGGTTAAATCAAGACCTTTGCAAGGCCCCTTGTGGGGCAGGGAGGGTGCTCAGCCCCAATACCTGGGTGCAGGAATTTTGTTCCTCCCCAGTCTGGGGTCTCTTCACCTCATTTTGGGAGTCTAAACACGTTCAGCAAGCAAAGGTCAGCGCCAACAGTTAAACCCAGGTGTTTAATACATCCCAGGGGTGAATCCTGATAAAATCATCTGCCCTCTTTAATCCTCTCAGCCCTTTGTGCTCCTGGCTTGGGGCAGCACACCTGGGGGACAGCTGGAAAAGCTGGGAAACAGCACCCCAAAAAGGAGACACCCTCCCCTGACTGTTGCCCTTGAGCTACAGCTGCTGGGAATCTTATTTAGGTGCTGAAAAAAATATCCCAGGCTGGAAATTTAATAGGGGTTTGTGCAGCCAGCCCAGGCTGGAGTCAAAATGTGTACAGCCCCGGTCAGGGAACGTTCAGTATTTACTGGGAACACTGCGTGGTGCTGGAACATGGATTGGTTGGTTGGAATTTGAGGAGGAATTGGTGCTGTCCGAGAAACACAACCTTSATTTCAATAAGGTTGATTGAGGGCTTTGGGTTGGCCCGGGCTCAGTTACTTCAGGAAAAAATCCTCTCCCCCAGTGTGAAATTGTTAAATTCACCAAACTTGCTGCTCTTCACTGGTGGAAGAGGAAGTCAAGCTGCTGGAAGGCAAAATTCCCACAGCCCAGCTCCTGAGCCCAGCAGCAGCTGAGCCCCAGTGTCCTCACAAACCCTGCTGCTTTGGGGTCCCAATCCCCCTGAAAGTCCATGCAGCCCAGCCAGCGAGGTCAATGCCTTTGATTCGTGCTGCTGGCCCCGTGTCACATGTCACATATCACACGTCACATGTCACACGCTGCTCAGGCTGACCCATACGAGCTCCCTCCTCCCATTTTCTCATTTTGCACCCACACTGAATCCTTGTGTTCCCCCTGCAAAGAACCAATTCCTGKTTTTCCCCCATCCCCTTAAACCATTTGCTGTGTGCAGAAGTAGAGCCATGTGCTCT